GAGCATTTTGTCCTCTTTCTTTTCTCCAACTGCAAATCACTCGTTCCCGCTTCTCTCCCTTTCTCAGAGAAAAGACAAATTTCTCTCTTGATCCCCTGTGCAAAGTGTTTCTCCACTTTTCCCCTTTCTCTCCGTCTGCCTACAAATCACTTTCCCCTGTTCCCTGCCTTACATTTGAAAAGACAAGTTCACCCTCTGTTTCTTCTTTCTCTTTCTCTCCGAGTGGAAACGAGGACGGATTGACTTTGAGATCTGACCCGGGCTAAGACCGGCTGTCAGCAGGTAATGATAGAGACTTAGAGAGTGATGCCTCTTCACAGAGAGGGATCACGCCTCGTCCTCCACTTAAAAAGAACCCTTTTAAAATTTAGATCCCTGTTGAGAGAACAGGCTATCCCTCTAAAATACACCTTGATCGATTCCCTAACTATCTGACTCCTGCAGCAGCGGGGGAACCGAGAGTCGACGTGGAAATAAATCCCACAAAAAAATCACAGCCTGTGAGCGGCTGCTGTTCTGCAGAAACAGAAAAAGACTTTTTCATCACTTGAAAATCTGCAGCTTTTGGAAAACAACACGCAGAAGTGCAGCGCTGAGAATTTCCTTTGATTTTATGAACCCACGCCTAAATTCATGTGAGCAGAAACCCCCGATCTGTTTTAGCCACAGGAACTTTCTGTGTCTGGAAACTTTGGAACTTTTCCTGCAGCTTGAGCAGGAATCTGATTTCAGTTTTGACAGCTGAGACTTGATGAAGTAGCTCACGTCCATCATCACACACGTCTGTAAGACACGAGAACAACGCGGTCACGTATGTTGTATGTGCTCCTTTAAGTGACATCATCACCACATTTTAAAACTATGTTTTTATTATTGAAACCTAGTGACGCAGATTACAGTGACATGATCGCATGAACTCAAAAGTTCCTAAAACTAAATGCAGATAAGACTGAGGTCTCTCCATCATCCACCCATCCATCCACCTCTCCATCATCCACCCATCCATCCACCTCTCCATCATCCACCCATCCANCTCTCCATCATCCACCCATCCATCCACCTCTCCATCATCCACCCATCCATCCACCTCTCCATCATCCACCCATCCACCCTGCTTATTCTGTGAGGGTTGTGTGGGACTGGAAACAATCTCCTCCTTCACCAACAATAGTAAAATAAAACAATAAGTAAAACCAGCCACAACCCAAAGCCGTCCCCGTCCAGCTTCAACACGTCCGCTAACAAGAGTCGAGACTCGTCCGACCGTTGTCCTGAAATCAGCCTCGTCACAATCAGCAGCGAGTTCATTAAGCCGCCAAATTAAACCGCCCCAAAGAAAAAGGCAGATTTCAGAACAATCTGACCGAGCTCCAATTGATGGGGGAGGGTGAACAGAAGAAAGAGAGAACAGACGCAGAGCACCTCCGGCGCCCGTAACCATCCATTTCTGAAAGCACCCCTTTCAAAGAGGAAATTAATTTTGAAAGAGGAAGAATAAAACGAGCAGCCGAGGTGACCGAAGGTGCTGTATTAGACCACGCTCGACTAAAACCAAGTCATTTAAACCGCCGGCTGCCGGCTCGCCTCCCTGACCTCTGCTCCTCGCTGCAGAGAGACAGAATAATCTCTGTCCATATTTCACTTCCTTTTTTTTTGTGTTTTACACATCCTACACCCCCCCCCACCCCCCCCCACGACATTCCATCTGACCCGCCGGGCCACCGTAGAGTCACTTCCTGATTGCCACTCTGGATATTCAGAGCTCAGGAACTTTTGGAGAAGGTAATTGAAAAACTTTCAGGGAGCTCTTTTTTTTTCATGGCGAGGTTTGTGACATGTTTAAGTTTTGTCGTGAGTTATAACAGCGGTGAAGGCTGAGCGGTGGCGGCGGCGGCTCATCCACAGTCAAGGAAAACGTAGAGATATCTGGTATCTAACACGTACAAATATGTGGTGGTGTTAAAGTGTCTGTGGGGTATCGAACCACCGTGACGTCACCCGTTGGTTCCGGAGCTGCTGCTCTGAAGCCTCAGGTTCACATCGTGTTCAGCGCCATCTTGTTTTTTTCAAAACCCGAAGTAACCATATTTGGAGGAGCGAGGGGTGGAGTCTGACTGACAGTTTGAGGACACGCCCGCCTACACCTACACCTGCACCCATTGGACGGTACTATCTGTCAATCACACTGTCTTATTTCCCCCCCATACATCCGGTTTGTCTCCAGGAGACAAAAACTCCTGAGGACAAAGTTTACTGACGTTATAAAGTGAGAAGAGACGTTTTCTTCTATAGAAACTCACGTATGTGAAACAATGAGAAGTGTAAAATCATATATATATGACGGGGGAGGGGATCTGCATCTGGAAACCTGAGGTAGACTCCGACTGCAGAGGTGATTGTTGAGAACGTGCTCCGTGTCGTCTGGATGCAGCTCGTGGGACGGAGCGAATCCCTCAAAGAATAAACTCCAACAAGGAGCCGAGCGTGTCAGCTGCAGCGGACAGGATGTGATAGAAGTCGACTCTGTGTGGCGGTGGCGGTGTGTGGTTCGAGGCGTGTTCGTCCTTGCTGCGTGGTTATCATTTGGCGCTCTGCCTAAACACCTTGCTGCCTCCGACACACCGTGAAACGCGACGTGGCTCCCGGCGCCGCCTCTGCTTTTACCGCCCCAGTTAAATCTGACTGCAGCAGCAAACAGAACGCCGCAAATCATCCAGACAGCCACTAAATAAGGACACCAGAGCACTTCCTGTGTGTGTCGGACTCTCTGAGTGTGTTAGGCCTCCTGACAAGGGTAATAACACTGTGGAGCTGCTGCTCAGAGGAAACTTTCTCTAAGTGGCCTCTGACTTTCACAGTTGAATCTAGAAATACGACACACGCAGCAGCTCTCTGAGACTAGTTCTTATTTGTTTAAGCTCGAATTAGATTTAATAAAAGTAAATAACAGTTTAGAGTGAAGTTAAACATCTTCAACGTTTCTATAGGTGGTTCACTAAGTGTCTGCAGTAGCGTCTGTCTGTCACAAGGGGGCGCAGACGGAACAATCAGAAATAAATATGCACAAATACGACGGAAACGACTCGAGGTCCATTAACTGGCTTGTTCTGCATCGTTTGTCCAACTCACACGGTCCTCATCATCAGTTGTTTGAAAAATGTCAGAGCCTAATTGTTTGCACGGCGACAGGACTCGGCTGTCGTCCAATCAGAGCGGCGCATGTTGTCAGGCGTACTCACAGTCCAGGTGACACTGTCTGATTCCCTCCACGTCCTCAGCATGGATGAACTGGTAGCACCTTTTCCCCACAATGTCCACAGGGGTCAGGTCCATGTAGTCGTTGATTCTGAAACACAAGTCATTCATAATATTGTTAATATGTATTTGAGCGTGAGCGCCGGGTTTCGAGTGAGAGCTGAACAAGCTCACGGCCTCCATCGAGTCACGAGACAAAGACTGTTTCCCTCCGACTCTGGCTCGACTGAAAGCGTTTCATGGAAACAGAAGATGATTGTAAACGATCAGAGGGTTTTCAGCTGGATGGCGTGGACACACACAGCCTCTATATTACTGTCATGTTTGAAAACTCGAGTTTTACATCAGTAAAATTCAACAACTTCGATGTTTCCGTGCCCACGAGTGCAGGATCCGTCTCTGAGGTGTTTTTTTTACAGTGTCTCTGCTCTGGTGGAGCCCCCCCGCACTGAGACCGCATGGACGTGGAAGTGTCGTGAAACACTGGGAGACATCACTTGTCCCATCAGGACAATTCGCTCTGGAACTGGACGATTAGAAAAGACTGATTGGGGGAAAAATAAAAAGCTAATAACCCAACAGCGGAGAGTGAGGCCCGTCCGTCTGTCGCACAGGTAACACACATCAGCTTTAAACGGTTTAATTTGAACAAATTTGCCACAGGATAGACAGAACAATTTCCCCGGTTTCATTCTGATGGAGGGTGGAGGGGGGGGGGGGGGGGGACTAATGTCTGGCAGGCAGATAACAGCTCAGTCTTGTTCTTTAGAAAAATCCATCCTCCCATTTTCTCATTCTCTTAGAAAGTCATCCTGAAATGGGGCCGTAATGGGAGCGACGTTTGTCTGTTCGCTGCCGAGATGCTTTCTGTCGCTCCGCACTGAAAATCATCAGCCGCCTCATGTTGTGTCTCTTTTTTCCACCGACGAAAAAAAGCAATCTGTCTGCTATCATTTTTTTTTTCCTTCTCTCTTTTTATAATAAAACATGAAGGTTTTTTTTTTTCTTCGCCTGATATGAATCTCGGCGGTCGGCCGGTTAACTCCTGAGCGAGATCCCGATGCCTATCTGCTTTATCTGGACAGACGGGAGCAGATAGATCCATCAGTGACACGTTTGTCTGTTAAACCAGGGTCACACTTCCTCATGAATAAGAAGCTTCAACACGCGAGACAACTTTCCTCGTCTGCCTTTAACTGCACGTATGAAACACGTATGTAATCCAGGTGAAATGGAGTTTTGTGTTTGACGCTGGTGACTTGAAAATGGACAGTTTCTCTAATAAAGTCAATGACGTTATAGAAATATGATCGTCAATCTCAAATGTTAATTTCAGTACAGGAGGATTTTTACAGGTTTCATTTTCAACATGACGACACGTCACAAGAAAAGTTTAAAATCTTCATAATACTTCTGTTACTCTCATGAGAGGAAAATATTTCCTGTCCTCTTGTTCAGGTGAATATATAAAATGAATGGGAATTCTAAATAAATAAATGGGGAAAGATTTATTTAAAATATAATAAGATAGAAGATCATTTAAAAAAATATCCAGCTTGTTTTCAAGTTTTAAAATAGAACTTTTCTAAAAAAATAAAAATTAAACATCGACTGTGTTTAACGAGTGAACGTGACATTTGTGTAACAATGTTTTCATATGAACACATTTTTATTGAAAAAGTATTGAGAAGTTTTTATGATGAGAAATGAAAAACACTCGTTGGAACGTACTTGAATGAATTTAATGATAAGTGACCTCCTCGTTCTCTTTGTGTTCCCTCGGTTATTAACTGTTTGGCTCCAGGTTCCCACACGCACCTGTTCTCACAGTAGACGATCTTCAGGTCCATGTTCACTCGGGTGACGAACATCTGACAGTCGATGCGAACCTCGTTGATTGTGGGCGGAGGGAGCGCGTGAGCCACCACCACCATCCCCATGATCTGGTTGGGCACTGAGCGGCTGTGCGTCAGAGTCATCCTGATGCGCAGACGCCCGGTGACGTGGATCACCTGAGCGAGAGAGCAGAGGGTGAGTTACAGAGCTGGGCGGAGTCAGAGATCGTAAATGAGTGTGTAGTAATCACATGTGATCTGAATCCACCAGGTGGAACATGGTACACACACACACACACACACACACACACACACACACAGACACACACACACACACACACACACTGAATACAACACCAAACTTTATTGATGATTTATTTATTCTCTGTCTCCACTGTGAGAAAAGAGAAAGTGATTTTTCCAGACTGACAAAGTCAAAGTAACAGTTTTATATTAACGAATCAATCTCCAATGTTTTTTTTCTGTTGAATCAAACCAGCGTTTTCAAAAATAAAGCAACATTGGATTTGTATGTTAATCAATGAATTAAAGAATCGATGAAACCGTTCGTCTTTTCTTTACACTCTCATCTTTCTCTCTACTTCTGGCTGCTGTCATCCTTCAGCAGGTACACTGCGTTAGTGCAGGATAAAGTGTGAGAGGTCCTACACATGCACACACACACGCACACACACACGCACACACACACGCACACACACAGACACACACAATCCTCTTTAATCCCTCCTCTCGATCTGCGAGCGGTGAGATGGTCACAGGGCTTAAAGGCCTGATGTGACACCTATGGGTTGAATATCCGTCATGCACACAGGACGTATTGTGCACACACACACACACACACACACACACTCTTGTTGTACACAAAAGAACAACAACAAGCGTTTGTATGCACATGAAAAAAGATCAAAATCAACTCGTGTTTTAAATTTAAATTGTATTAAACCTCAAAGAAAAATCATACAAAGCTTCAAGACATGTAATAAAAACACACAACATAACACAATGACATGAAACACACACACAAAATGACTGTCTATCTGAATTATCGTGGAATGTTGTCGTTATATGTCCAAGATCATTTCTCGTTATTTATTCTGTTGTGACTTCACATTGTTGTTCTCACTGGTTTCAGAGTCACAACTAGTTTCTGAGTTTAACAGAAGTGAGAAGTTTCAAACTGAACCTTGTAGCCTGAGGACTTGATGTGAACTCCTCTCTTCGTGAGCGTCGACTTCATCCGGATGAAGAAGGATCGTTCCAGAGTGTTATCAGGAGCCAAGAGACTGGGACTGCTGGACTCCACTGACACACACACACACACACACACACAC